ATGTAAGTACCAGATCATCTGCAAATGCTCTCAGTTTGTACTGTTTAGCTCCGACCTGTACCCCTTTAACCAGCTGATCCCTTCTAATCATGTTCAGCAAAATCTCCAGGACTGATATAAAAAGTAATGGGGAGATTGGGCACCCCTGACGTGTCCCTTTTTCTATCTTAAATTCTTCCGTAACCACATTGTTTACAATTAGCTTAGCTTTTTGTTCAGAGTATATTGCACCTATACCATTTTCAAACCCTTGGCCTACCCCCATCCCCTGGAGATTCTTCCTCATAAAACTCCAAGAAATATTGTCAAAGGCTTTCTCCGCATCCACAAATATCAAAACTGCTTTAGTGTTTATATTCACTTCTAACTTTTCCAAAATGTCAATTATATTCCTTACATTATCTGACAAACGTCTTCTCGGGAGAAAGCCCGCTTGGTCTCTATGAATCTCCTCCTTTTGACTTAAGTTGAACAGATGCTGCCCCTGGTGGTGCAGAAGGGCCAGATGCTGATGCTCTTCGCTGCTGCCATGATTTACCAGACCTTGTTGTTTTTTCTTGAAGCAAGTCTATTTTTTCTTTTCCATCTGCCATAACACTTTAACTGGAGCCCAAGGTTGATCCCACGGCCAGAGTTTGTTTTGAAGTGGAAAATTCCCCTGGCCAGTTGTAACAATTTCAAACTTTCTCTAGGGGGACACAGTGACAGTCAATACTTGTTGCATTAAAATAACTCTTTCTAGTCCCCCATTTAACAAAATAAGCAACAGTTTCAATTTCAGTTAGTTTTCTGTTACCTTAAAATCAGGAGAAACCAGTCAGAAACAATCTATCTCTCTTGCAGAGTTAGCTGTCAAAAATTACATTGTCCATAAGCAGCGCGCTTCACAATGCAGCAATCTTATTGTCCATTGGCAGCCTGTTTCCAGGCTTTAAGCGGTGGACTTTTGTTTCCTTTCCTCTCTTTTTGCAGGAAAATTTACTTCTCCCTTCCCCCCCTCTCCTGCAACCAAGGGAGGGAGATCTCTTGTATTGATGTTAAGATTATAGTCCTTTTCAGTCGACTTTCCAGGTCTTAGCTTAGAAGTTCTTTGCTTTGATCTGTTAACAAGAAGCGGAAGGCGAACTTCCTGTTTAAACCTTCCCACTTCGGTGCCAAATTAAACCTTTGTTTCCCTTATTTTCAGATCTTCAGTTTTAACCTACTCACAGGTAGTTGTTTTGATGGCCGAATCGTCACAGGAAAAAAGTCAGCGCTCTCCGGCAACAGCTGTGCGGCTTCGCTCCACGGAAGAAGCAGTTGGCTCTCAGCACCGCGCCGCTCACCCCGTTCGCTCCGGAGCCCGTAGTCGGGTTCCCTTGCAAATTGGGGGGGGTGCTGAAGGTGCCCACCGAGTCCCACGGTCACAGGCTTCACCCACCTGTGATTTTTAGAGGGGTCCCTGCTTCGCCGTAGCGGCAAGACCAAATTTCCGCAGAGCTAAATCCCTCAAAGTTAGAGGGAATCCGCCATTACCGATGGCGCCGACCCCGGACGTCGAGTCTTCTCATGAGGTGGCCAAAGTATTGCAGCCTCAGCTTCACGATCTGTCCTTCCAATGAGCACTCAGGGCTAATTTCCTTAAGAATGGATGCGTTTGCATAGACATGCAAATTTTTTAATGAATAAAGAATATTATTTTTTTAAAAAAAGGTTGCAATCAACTTAACATATGCGATACACGCGCTTCGCTCTAATGCCTTCTGAATTAACTTGCACTCCAAGACAAAGGGATACACTCCTGCTAAATGCACACTCGCTGATTACAGGCGCATACTTGGGAGAAAGAACTAGCCTTGCAAGGAAAAAGAAGCATCCCCTCTACTTCTCTTCCCTTCTCCCCTCGCCCCCACCCAAGGGCCAGGCCCATGCTTGCTCCCCTAAAACAAAATCTAACCAGGGACCCAGCTGAGGAGAGCTACACTGAGGCGCATTCGTGGGAGCCTCCCTCTGAATCTTCCCGGGAGCAGGAGGACTGTATAGATTTGGACCAGTAGTTTGCAGAGGAACAGTTCAGAAGGCAGAAGCTGGGAAATACTGGATAATGCTTTTATTGTAGCTTTTTTATTATTATTTCTGTACCCCCTTGCTAACCAAATAATTTTATACATATGAAAAGCAAATCTTGGATTGAGAAGATAATGGTTTGTAAAGAAAAGGGTTTGTTTGTTTTTAAAAAAATTGTTTCTCTGTTCTAAAATTTGGTTTTAATGTAAAGTGTGTCAATATATTTGGCTTTGTTTATAAAGCAGAAGTGACCAGCTGCTCCTGGAATAAAAAATGAGCTCTGTATCAACAAGTTTTACCTATAATTAAAGTTCTAAGAAATGTGAGATTTTCCACCCTTGAGTTTTTGAACTACAACTCCCCATCATTCTTGGCCATATGGGCTGAGGCTTATGGGTGTTGTTTCCCAACATCTGAGGTACCCCATTTCCCTCAAGCAGACAGATGCTGATCCACAAGACAAGGGCAGCCCATCATTTTGGCATTGAAGGGCAGAGGTCAAAACTCAACAGATTCATCACACACCTTGAGCATTCCAGATTCACACTCTCCCCGTTCATCTAGCAACAACTTCCAACTTCTTTTCTACATTTAGTATATGTGACCTTCATTACTTTAATACATATATACGTGTATACAAATTTAAATACCAACACCAAAACATCAAATGGATTCCATGCATTTAAAATTGATTTCCGCCTTTATGAGTTTCTTGATGTGAGGTAAAGAGTGAAACTTGAGTGGAACATTGCATACATTGATATGGCTTTTCACCTGGGTGAATTCGCTCATGAATATTAAGGTCTCCACACTGTCTGAAGTTCTTTCCACACTCCATACATTTAAATGGTTTCTGCCCTGTATGAGTTTGTTGATGTATTCTAAGGTTTCTACTTTGACTGAAGCTCTTTCCACATTCAATACATTTAAACGGTTTCTCCCCTGTGTGAGTTCGTTGATGTGTTCTAAGGGCTCCACTGCAACTGAAGCTCTTTCCACATTCAATGCATTTAAACGGTTTCTCCCCCGTGTGAGTTCGTTGATGTCTTCTAAGGGCTCCACTGCAACTGAAGCTCTTTCCACATTCAATGCATTCAAATGGTTTCTCCCCCGTGTGAGTTCGTTGATGTGTTCTAAGACCTCCACTAGAACTGATGCTCTTTCCACATTCAATGCATTGAAATGGTTTCTCCCCCGTGTGAGTTCGTTGATGTCTTCTAAGGTGACCACTTTCACTGAAGCTCTTTCCACATTCAATGCATTCAAATGGTTTCTCCCCCGTGTGAGTTCGTTGATGTTTTCTAAGGCCTCCACTAGAACTGATGCTCTTTCCACATTCAATGCATTCAAATGGTTTCTCCCCCGTGTGAGTTCGTTGATGTATTCTAAGGCCTCCACTACGACTGAAGCTCTTTCCACATTCAATGCATTGAAATGGTTTCTCCCCTGTGTGAGTTCGTTGATGTGTTCTAAGGTTTCCACTACGACTGAAGCTCTTTCCACATTCAATGCATTTAAACGGTTTCTCCCCCATGTGAGTTCGTTGATGTGTTCTAAGGTCTCCACTTTCACTGAAGCTCTTTCCACATTCAATGCATTCAAATGGTTTCTCCCCTGTGTGAGTTCGTTGATGTATTCTAAGGCCTCCACTAGAACTCAAGCTCTTTCCACATTCAATGCATTCAAACGGTTTCACCCCAGTGTGAGTTCGTTGATGTATTCTAAGGTTTCCACTAGAACTGATGCTCATTCCACATTCAATGCATTCAAATGGTTTCTCCCCCATGTGAGTTCGTTGATGTATTCTAAGGCCTCCACTACGACTGAAGCTCTTTCCACATTCAATGCAATTAAATGGTTTCTCCCCCGTGCTGAGTTCGTTGATGTGTTCTAAGGTGTCCACTATGACTGAAGCTCTTCCAGCAACTCAATACATTTAAATGGTTTCTTCTCCCCCGTGTGAGTTCGCTGATGTGTTCCCTAAGGGCTCCAACTACGACTCCAAGCTCTTTCCGCACTTCAATGCATTCAAACGGTTTCTCCCCCGTGTGAGTTCGTTGATGTTTTCTAAGGTCTCAACTACGACTGAAGCTCTTTCGCACCAATGCATTTCAAACGGTTTCTCCCTCAATGCATTTCAAATGGTTCTCCCCTGTGTGAGTTCGTCGATGTGTTCTAAGGTTTCGACTTTCACTGAAGCCTTTCCACATTCAATGCATTCAAACGGTTTCTCCCCCGTGTGAGTTCGTTGATGTGTTCTAAGGTGTCCCACTTTCACTGAAAGCTCCTTTCCACATTCAATGCATTCAAATGGTTTCTCCCCTGTGTGAGTTCGTTGATGTGTTCTAAGGGCTGCATTCTGTCTGAAGCTCTTTCCACATTCAATGCATTCAAATGGTTTCACCCCTGTGTGAGTTCGTTGGTGTGTTCCAAGACTGCCACTACGACTGAAGCTCTTTCCACATTCAATGCAATTAAATGGTTTCTCCCCTGTGTGAGTTCGTTGATGTGTTCTAAGGGCTGCATTCTGTCCGAAGCTCTTTCCACATTCAATGCAATTAAATGGTTTCTCCCCTGTGTGAGTTCGTTGATGTGTTCTAAGGGCTCCATTCTGTCTGAAGCTCTTTCCACATTCAGTGCATTGAAATGGTTTCTCCCCCATGTGGAGTTCGTTGATGTGTTCTAAGGTCTCCACTACGACTGAAGCTCTTTCCGCACTCAATACATTTAAATGGTTTCTCCCCCGTGTGAGTTCGTTGATGTGTTCTAAGGTCTCCACTACGACTGAAGCTCTTTCCGCACTCAATACATTTAAATCGTTCCCCCCCGTGTGAGTTCGTTGATGTGTTCTAAGGACTCCAATACAACTTTCACTGAAGTTCTTTTCGCACTCCATGTATTTACATGGATTCTCTCCTGTGTGAGTTTGTTGGTGTATCCTCAGTCTTCCAAAGGGTCTAAAGCACATTCCACATTCCTTGCATTTAAACTGTTTCTTTGTTCTTCCCAATGAATTCACAGATGGCTCCGTAGAATTCTGACCATCGTCTTCCTCACCTGCTTGGGAGTGGGGGGGGGGAGAAAATCCTGTTAGACTTTTAGGAAAGACAATAAATGAACCATCTTCCTCCGTCCATCCTGACTAGGTGTACAGGTTCAGCTTCTTGAGAAGCGCAGAAGCCAAGGCAAGTTGTAGCTTCCTGGGAGGAAGGAAGAAGGGATTCTGCTGCCTCTGTAGAAGCTCCTATTGGGCACCCACTTCCCAAGAGCCTCCACCCATTTTCAAACACCTTTGGCAATTCCTTCCGTCAGCCTGTCCCTTCTCCCTTCCTAAGGCTGGCATGGTATGGGCAGGAATGGCCTTGTGGCAGTTGCCCAAAGGGCCACAATAAATGTGATAATGTGTATCTCTGTAAATCCTCGAGTGTGCTTCTAAAACAGAAGTTGTGGTAGTCTGTGCTTTATAACTGGTTATTTTGCAAGTTGCCGCCCCCCAATTGGGGCAGAAATACAGCTAATAGGAGAATCCCAAAGATACAGCTGAAAGCTGGAACATGAGTCGCCACATGATGCAAATGGCTGCATGTAACATAGGTTCCCAACATGCACACCAACACAATGTCACAGAACGCAGTAGGGATCAGAACATATTCAGCAGAAATTGCCAGTGCTTGTTGCGCATGTGTATTATAATAAAATGAGGCAATGATGAATATCAGGAATACTTGGCTAGTTTAGATGTATTCAAGTCTCCAGGGCCAGATGAACTGCATCCAAGAGTATTAAAAGAACTGGCAGATGTGATCTCAGAACCACTGGCAGTCATCTTTGATAATTCCTGGAGAACATGCGAAGTCCTGGCAGACTGGAGGAGGGCAAATGTTGTCCCTATTTTCAAAAGGGGGAAGAAGAGGACCCAAATAATAACCGCCCAGTAAGTCTGACATCCATACCAGGGAAGATTCTGGAGCAGATCATTAAGAAGAGTTTGGATTTGATACCCCGCCTTTCACTCCCCTTCAGGAGTCTCAAAGCGGCTAACAATCTCCTTTCCCTTCCTCCCCCACAACAAACACTCTGTGAGGTGAGTGGGGCTGAGAGAATTCAAAGAAGTGTGACTGGCCCAAGGTCACCCAGCAGCTGCATGTGGCGGAGCGGAGACGCGAACCCGGTTCCCCAGATTACGTGACTACCGCTTTTAACCACTACACCACACTGGCACTAAGCAAACAGTCTGTGAGCACTTAGAAAGGAATGCTGTGATCACCAATAGTCAGCATGGATTTCTGAAAAATAAGTCATGTCAGACTAACCTGATCTCGTTTTTTGTCAGAATTACAAGCCTGGTAGATGAAGGGAACGCAGTGGATGTAGCCTACCTTGATTTCAGCAAGGCATTCGACAAGGTGCCCCATGATATTCTTGTAAAGAAGTTGGTAAAATGCGGTCTTGACTATGCTACCACTCAGTGGATTTGTAACTGGCTGACTGACCGAACCCAAAGGGTGCTCATCAATGGTTCCTCTTCATCCTGGAGAAGAGTGACTAGTGGGGTGCCACAGGGTTCTGTCTTGGGCCCGGTCTTATTCAACATCTTTATCAACGACTTGGATGATGGACTCAAGGGCATCCTGATCAAATTTGCAGATGACACCAAACTGGGAGGGGTGGTTAACACCCCAGAGGACAGGATCACACTTCAAAACGACCTTGACAGATTAGAGAACTGGGCCAAAACAAACAAGATGAACTTTAACAGGGAGAAATGTAAAGTATTGCACTTGGGCAAAAAAAATGAGAGGCACAAATACAAGAGGGGTGACACCTGGCTTGAGAGCAGTACATGTGAAAAGGATCTAGGAGTCTTGGTTGACCACAAACTTGACATGAGCCAACAGTGTGACGCGGCAGCTAAAAAAGCCAATGCAATTCTGGGCTGCATCAATAGGAGTATAGCATCTAGATCAAGGGAAGTAATAGTGCCACTGTATTCTGCTCTGGTCAGACCTCACCTGGAGTACTGTGTCCAGTTCTGGGCACCACAGTTCAAGAAGGACATTGACAAACTGGAACGTGTCCAGAGGAGGGCAACCAAAATGGTCAAAGGCCTGGAAACGATGCCTTATGAGGAACGGCTAAGGGAGCTGGGCATGTTTAGCCTGGAGAAGAGGAGGTTAAGGGGTGATATGATAGTCATGTTCAAATATATAAAAGGATGTCACATACAGGAGGGAGAAAGGTTGTTTTCTGCTGCTCCAGAGAAGCGGACACGGAGCAATGGATCCAAACTACAAGAAAGAAGATTCCACCTAAACATTAGGAATAACTTCCTGGCAGTAAGAGCTGTTCGACAGTGGAATTTGCTGCCAAGGAGCGTGGTGGAGTTTCCTTCTTTGGAGGTCTTTAAGCAGAGGCTTGACAACCATATGTCAGGAGTGCTCTGATGGTGTTTCCTGCTTGGCAGGGGGTTGGACTCGATGGCCCTTGTGGTCTCTTCCAACTATGATTCTATGATTCTATTCTAGGAACGTGAAACTCCAAAGGGACTTTTTTAAGGAGGCGGGAGACGCAAGAAAAATTTAGATTCTTTTGGCAACAATAAACATTAGAACAAGGAACTGCTGAGCAAAAACAAAAACAGGAGCATGTGCTGAAGTTCTTGCGGAAAGGGGGCGGGGCCTTCAAAGGTCTCATAATCGACCCAAAACAACACAGAGGTCTGCCTGTCAATTGCATTCCAGTGCTTGGACATCTCTGGTGTATAAGATTGGTTGAAACCGAACTGCTTTGTTTGAAATTATATAAATACCAATGCCTGGACCACATATGTGGTGGAGGCGTGAGGAAATTAAGAAATTTTGGATAGTAGTACACGAAGAACCAAAGAAGATGTTGAAAATATCAAAAACAAACCAGAGACATATCTCCTTGGATTGACAGAAGATGAGATACCACGGGGGGCAAGAATTTTTCTCTATGCAAGTACAGCTGCTAGAATAGTGATTGCTGCTAGGTGGAAGTCAAAAACTATACCCACAAAGGAGGAATGGATTTGTAAACTAAATGAATATTTAATTCTGGCAAAATTAACTGCTATAATAAGAAATCAGTTGTATCAAAAATTTAAAAAGGAGTGGAAATGTTTTGATGAATATATGGCAAAGTATTGCTCAAAAAAAGATATGCTAATATGCCTAGATTAAAATGTGAAGTACTGGATGGAAGAATAATTAGTAAGGAAAGATAATAAGAATATATAGATGATTTGAGAAGATTGTAGAATGCAAAGGTTATTGTAAAGTGTATAATGTGGAGGAAATAGAATGGGGGCGGAGGGAAGGAGGAAGGAGAAAAGAATAAAATGATGGACTGAGGAAATAGAAATGTAAATGTATGGGGGGATGGGGAGGAAACGGTGTTGGCTTTGGTATATCTGTATTGTAAAGTAATATGTGAAAACCAATAAAATAATCTAAATTGGGGGGGGGGGAGCCAAAGCCATGAACATGATCATCTGACGCATCAGGATCTGTACCAAGTAATATTTAATGACCATGTCCTTCATGGATCAATGCCTTGTCATGGCAAAGGGGCTTGAATAACTCAGAGACAAGGAGAAGGGGACGACAGAGGACGAGATGGTTGGACAGTGTTCTCGAAGCTACAAGCGTGAGTCTGACCAAACTGCGGGAGGCAGTGGAAGACAGGAGTGCCTGGCGTGCTCTGGTCCATGGGGTCATGAAGAGTCGGACACGACTAAACAACAACAACAACAACAACATAACTCAGAGACGCTATGAGCTATGCCGTGCAGGGCCACCCAAGACCGACAGGTCAAAGTGGAGAGTTTTCAGTAAACTTGATCCACCTGGAGCAGGAACCAGCAAGCCACGCCAGTATCCCTGCCGAGAAAACTCCATGGTCGTATAAAAGTTATGACGCTGGGTATTGTTGGCCAAGGGGTGTTAAAGAAGGATCAAACATTTTTTATGTATGCAACAACAGCAGCAAGGATACTCGTCGCCAAGCATTGGAAAACTCAAGATATACCCACACTGGAAGAATGGCAGATGCAACTGATAGACTATATGGAATTGGCCGGGCAGAATCCGAGACCTGGGAGAGGAGACGGTGGAAGAAGACTGGAAAAAATTTAAGATTTATTTGCAAAAATATTGTAAATTGTATGAATGTTAAGCAGGATGCTTGATCATAAACAATTTGGCACCATCGGAACAGATGAAGTGAATTATGAAGATAAGTTAAATTTATGAAAAACCAATTTTTTTTTTTAGATAACTATTAGGCTAAGCTTATTGTTTTAATAGAGTGAAATGAATATATCTAAAATTTAAGATATAACATTGGAAAACTAGATTGTAAGGTGGGGACAAGGTGATAAATTTGCTGGATTAATTTTTATAAATTTGGAACGCAGGAGCGGGAGATGTGAGGAAGTCCAAAGAGGACAAGAAAATATGTTATAAAATGTGATATTTTTGTATGTTTTGTTTTGTGTGTTGTAACCAAAAAATCTTTAATAAATATTATAAAAAAAAAAAAAAATTATGACGCTGGAAGATGAACCCTGGAAGTGTGCCTGGAAGTGAAAGAAAAGTCCAGTGCTGCAAAGAAAAATATATGAACCTGGAATATGAGATCCATGAACCATGGTAAGCTGGATGTGGTAAAAAATGAAATGGCAAGAATAAATATTGACATAGTGGGCATCAGTGAACTAAAATGGACAGGAATGGGCGAATTCAATTTGGATGATCATCATATCCTACTACTGAGGACAAGATTCCCATAGAAGAAATGGAGTGGCCCTCTTAGTCAACAAAAGAGTGGCAAAAGCTGTACTGGGATGCAATCTCAAAAATGATAAAATGATCTCGATACAAATCCAAGGCAGACCTTTTAACATCACAGTAATCCAGGTTTATGCACCAACTACCAATGCTGAGGGACGTGGGTGGCGCTGTGGGTTAAATCACAGAGCCTAGGACTTGCTGATCAGAAGGTCGGCGGTTTGAATCCCCATGATGGGGTGAGCTCCCGTTGTTCGGTCCCTGCTCCTGCCAACCTAGCTGTTCAAAAGCACCTCAAAGTGCAAGTAGATAAATAGGTACCGCTTCGGCGGGAAGGCGTTTCCGTGCACTGCCCTGGTTCGCCAGAAGCGGCTTAGTCATGCTGGTCACATGACTGTCTGCAGATAAATTCCAGCTCCCTCGGCCAGTAAAGCAAGATGAGCGCCCCAACCCCAGAGTCAGCCATGACCGGACCTAATGGTCAGGGATCCCTTTAACCTACCAATGCTGAAGAAACTGAACTTGACCAATTCTAGGAAGACAAATCCAAGGCAGACCTTTTAACATCACAGTAATGCAGGTTTATGCACCAACTACTGGGGCTGAAGAAACTGAAATTGACCAATTCTAGGAACAAAAGAGTCAACAAAAGAGTGGCAAAAGCTGTACTGGGATGCAATCTCAAAAATGATAGAATGATCTATCCAAGGCAGACCTTTTAAGATCACAGTAATCCAGGTTTATGCACCAACTACCAATGCTGAGGGACAGGGGTGGTGCTGTGGGTTAAATCACAGAGCCTAGGACCTGCCGATCAGAAGGTTGTCGGTTCGAATCCCCATGATGGGGTGAGCTCCCGTTGTTCGGTTCCTGCTCCTGCCAACCTAGCAGTTCGAAAGCAGGTCAAAGTGCAAGTAGATAAATAGGTACCGCTTCGGCGGGAAGGTAAATGGTGTTTCCATGCGCTGCTCTGGTTCGCCAGAAGCGGCTTAGTTATGCTGGCCACATGCCGATCTGCACACAAAAGCCAGCTCCCTCGGCCAGTAAAGCAAGATGAGCGCCCCAACCCCAGAGTTGGCCATGACTGGACCTAATGGTCAGGGGTCCCTTTACCTTACCAATGCTCAACAAAATGAACTTGACCAATTCTAGGAAGACTTACAACACCTTCTAGAACTAACACCAAAGAAGGATGTTTTCCTCCTCCTAGGGGACTGGAATGCTAAAGTAGGGAGTCAAAGAGATAAAAGGAACAACTGGTAAGTTTGGCCTTGGGAGTTCAAAATGAAGCAGTGCAAAGGTTAATAGATTCTGTCAAGAGAACAAGCTGGTCATAACAAACACTCTTTTCCAACAACACATGAGATGACTCTACACATGCACATCACCAGATGGGCAGCATCAAAATCAAATTGATTATATTCTTTGCAGCCAAAGATGGAGAAGTTCTATACAGTCAGCAAAAACTAGACCTGGAGCTGACTGTGGCTCAGATCATCAGCTTCTTATAACAAAATTCAAGCTTAAACTGAAGAAAGTAGGGAAAACCACTGGGTCAGTGAGATACAATCTAAATCAAATCCCTTATGAATACACAGTGGAAGAGAGGAACACATTTAAGGATTTAGATTTGGTGGACAGAGTGCCTGAAGAACTATGGTTGGAGGCTCAGAACATCATACAGGAGGCAGCAATGAAAATCATCCCAATGAAAAGGAAATGCAAGAAAGCAAAGTGGTTGTCCAATGAGGCCTTACAAACCGCGGGGGACAGAAGGCAAGCAAAATGCAAGGGAGATAGTTAAAGATACATGAAATTGAATGCAGACTTCCAACGAATAGCAAGGAGAGACAAGAGGGACTTCTTAAACGAGCAGTGCAAAGAAATAGAGGGAAACAATAGAATGGGAAATACCAGAGATCTGTTCAAGAAAATTGGAGATATTAAAGGAAGATTTTATGCAAAGATTACCATTATAAAGGACAAAAGTGGTACGTGTGGGAGCCATGAAGCCATGGCAGAGGCTTGTAATTGTTGCGTGGTGCCTCGCTGACCGGCATGTCTGTGCCTTGCAGTGTATTGAATGTATTGACCTTATATGGAGTTGTGTTCCCTCTGGGCAGTAATTATCTTATATGGTGATGGGTGTTGTAAAGCCATGATTGGGCGATGTAACGTGAGACACTGGCAGACGGCCATGCCGGCTGGGAGAAAAAGGATAATAAAATTACCAGAGAGGAGAGAAGTCGAAGGAGCTGCCCTCCATCCTGAAAATACTGCTGTCTCTCTGTGTCTTTTTTCTATGCTGTGCACCATTTGATGACGGCTGGTTTCCGTCAGGTACGGACCTTACAGAAGCAGAAGACATCAAGAAGAGGTGGCAAGAATACACAGAGGAATTATGCCAGGAAGATATGGATGTCCCATACACCCCAGGTAGTGTGACTGATGACCTTGAGCCAGACATCCTGGAGAGTGACGTCAAACGGGCCTTAGAAACCACTGCTAATAACAAGGCCAGTGGAAGTGATGACATTCCAGCGGAATCTTAAAAGATGATGCTGTTAAGGTGCTACACTCAATATGCCAGCAAGTTTGGAAAACTCAGCAGTGGCCAGAGGATTGGAGAATATCAGTCTACAATGCAATCCCAAAGAAGGGCAGCGCCAAAGAATGCTCCAACTACTGCACAATCATTTCACACACTAGCAAGGTTATGCTTAAAATTCTACAAGGCAGCCTTAAGCAGTACGCAGACCGAGAACACCCAGAAGTGCAAGCTGGATTTTGGAGGGGCAGAGGAACCAAAGACCAAATTGCAATAATGCGCTGGATTAGGGAGAAAGCTAGAGAAATCCAGAAAATCATCTACTTCTGCTTCATTGACTACGCAAAAGCCTTTGACTGTGTGGACCACAGCAAACTATGGCAAGTTCTTAAAGAAATGGGAGTGCCTGACCACCTCATCTGTCTCCTGAGAAATCTCTATGTGGGACAAGAAGCAACAGTTAGAACTGGATATGGAACAACTGATTGGCTCAAAATTGGGAAAGGAGTACGACAAGGCTGTATATTGTCTCCTTGCTTATTTAACTTATATGCAGAGGACGAGATGGTTGGACAGTGCTCTCAAAGCTACTAACATGAGTTTGACCAGACTGCAGAAGGCAGTGGAAAACAGGAGTGCCTGGAGTGCTCTGGTCCATGGGGTCACAAAGAGTCAGACACGACTAAGTGACTAAAGAACAACAACGATGTCCAGTCAGCATTCCCTAATGTAGAAGCAATTCTGAGAATGTTCCTCTGAATGATGATTGCAAATTGCCATTTGTAAAGATCCGTTTCTTGACTGAAGAGGATAAAAAATGAATTTGGAACAACAATGTCTCAAGATAAATTATGTTACTTCAGCCTCATGTACATAGAAAGTGACAAGCTAAGCAGTTTATCATTTGATGATATCCTCAGTGACTTTGCTTTGGCAAAGGCAAGAAGGAAAGTATTGTAATTTAGATCATGTTTGTGTACTGTTTGTATACACAGTACAGAATGAATCATGATAAAATTATACAGTTGAATGGGTATTGGGTAGATGCAGTAATACTATTAGTCCTGTAAAATAATTTTAATGTAAAGGTGTGTACAGTATTGGTATTATTTATAAATGTGACATATTACTAGAAATACTGTCTTTTACACTCACTAAGTGTAACAGGGTACAAAGGTCTGCTGTCCCAATGAAGAATGTGGACTATTATGGTAATATTGATACTGATATAAAAAATGCATTGTATTAACTACAATTGCATTGTACAGGTTATCACACTTAATTTCATATTAATAATCCTATTTATAATTATTAGTAGTTTGCATCATATATTTACACCTATTATTATAGCAAGTTTCTAGGACTAGATTAGCATTCTTTGTAAATTGTGTTTCTAAAGGAACTTCTGTTATTGCCAAATGCCAATGTGTTTGCATTAAGTTTGTTATGAATAACAAAATCATTTTAAGTTAGAGCTTAATAATTATTTCACTATTAATATACTTCGTAATTGTATTTCAGTTCAACAATTACCTTGAGAAAATACATACTCTGTTCTGTGCAAATGGTTTTAGATACCGATTAGGTCCATAAATTATCATACAGCCTATATTCAACACAAAAAACAGCGACAATTTGTTGTTGACAAAGGACAGCTGGGCATATAAAGGGCCCCATGACCTCCAGTAGTTTAGGGCCTCATCAAACCTCAATCCAGCCCTGCCCCCACTACTTTATGCAAGGAGTTCAAGAACAAAGAGCTCTTTGGAGGAGGCCTCACCCCTTCCTTCTTCCTGCCAGGACCCCCCTGCCTTTGCTTTTCCTCTCCATCTTTTCCCCTTTCTTCCTCTGCCATCCAGCAATCCATGTCCCCATCTCCTCTACAAAACGGAAGACTTGGATGTTTGGATGTTTTTGGTGTTTCTTATTTTGTTGGAAGCCGCTCAGAGTGGCTGGTGAAACCCAGAAAATGGGGGGGGGGGTTTAATGAATATCATTTATTTATTTATATATATACCTTAATTATTATTACTATGGCGAGCCTTGCCAGCAATACTCAAATCTCACCACTTTCCCGCCTCCTTCCCTGCAACTCCCTTTGGACCAGATCCGGGCAGGAGGAAGCTTCTCTCTTTCCACAGTGGAAACCCCTCCCCCCCTCCACCTTCAAGGCCCCATTAAGAGAAACAGCTCCCTTTCCTCCCTTCTCGTCTTCTCCCCGTCCCGGGGCTTCTCATCCTGGACCCCCCACCCCTTGCCAAGCCCCTTCCCTCCTTCCACGCCGCTGGCTTTGCACTCACCCAAAATCCTGGCAGCAGGAGCGACCCTGGGCAGCGGGGGCGGGAATGGGAGCCCCCGCCTGGGAGGCAGGATATTTCCGGGGGCGGGATAATTGCAGTACCCAGCCAATGGGGAGAGGAGGGAGGGAAGCTGGGCTTCCAGTTGAAGGAAGGTATGCTCGTTGCCTTAAAGAGTAAAGGCAGAGAGTGGAAGCTGCTGGGGGAGGGGCTGCTCGATACTGATTTGGGAAAGGGGGCGCGGCTTAATTAGAACAGCTGACCCGCCCCCTCTGCCGTCCTGCACTGTCCTTGTCCTGCAAGGAATCCGGTGAGTGCAAAGTGCCTCGGGGTGCAGCAAGCTTTGGGCGGCGGGGTTGTGCAATGCAATGCAATACCCATAATTGGGGTTGGGGGTGGAGAGAGAGCAGGCAGGGAAGCCGCAGGGGGGGGGGGGTTGCAGCTTATTCATCCTCCTTGCAAAGAAGAGACATGGCCTCTCCCTGAAGGTACGCTCTTTCTCACTCTCACTCTCTCTCTCACACAGATCACATGAAGGCAGTCATCTTTGAGTATTCCTGGAGAACAGGCGAAGTCCCGGCAGACTGGAGGAGGGCAAATGTTATCCCTATTTTCAAAAAGGGGAAAAGAGAGGACCCAAATAATTACCGCCCAGTCAGTCTGACATCAATACCAGGGAAGATTCTGGAGCAGATCATTAAGCAAACAGTCTGTGAGCACCTAGAAGGGAATGTTGTGATCACCAATAGTCAGCATGGATTTCTGAAAAATAAGTCATGTCAGACTAACCTGATCTCGTTTTTTGACAGAATTACAAGCCTGGTAGATGAAGGGAACGCAGTGGATGTAGCCTACCTTGATTTCAGCAAGGCATTCGACAAGGTGCCCCATGATATTCTTGTAAAGAAGTTGGTAAAATGCGGTCTTGACTATGCTACCACTCAGTGGATTTGTAACTGGCTGACTGACCGAACCCAAAGGGTGCTCATCAATGGTTCCTCTTCATCCTGGAGAAGAGTGACTAGTGGGGTGCCACAGGGTTCTGTCTTGGGCCCGGTCTTATTCAACATCTTTATCAATGACTTGGATGATGGACTCAAGGGCATCCTGATCAAATTTGCAGATGACACCAAACTGGGAGGGGTGGCTAACACCCCAGAGGACAGGATCACACTTCAAAATGACCTTGACAGATTAGAGAACTGGGCCAAAACAAACAAGATGAACTTTAACAGGGAGAAATGTAAAGTATTGCACTTGGGCAAAAAAAATGAGAGGCACAAATACAAGAGGGGTGACACCTGGCTTGAGAGCAGTACATGTGAAAAGGATCTAGGAGTCTTGGTTGACCACAAACTTGACATGAGCCAACAGTGTGACGCGGCAGCTAAAAAAGCCAATGCAATTCTGGGCTGCATCAATAGCAGTATAGCATCTAGATCAAGGGAAGTAATAGTGTCACTGTATTCTGCTCTGGTCAGACCTCACCTGGAGTACTGTGTCCAGTTCTGGGCACCACAGTTCAAGAAGGACACTGACAAACTGGAACGTGTCCAGAGGAGGGCAACCAAAATGGTCAAAGGCCTGGAAACGATGCCTTATGAGGAACGGCTAAGGGAGCTGGGAATGTTTAGCCTGGAGAAGAGGAGGTTAAGGGGTGATATGATAGCCATGTTCAAATATATAAAAGGATGTCATATAGAGGAGGGAGAAAGGTTGTTTTCTGTTTCTCCAGAGAAGCGGACATGGAGCAATGGATCCAAACTACAAGAAAGAAGATTCCACCTAAACATTAGGAAGAACTTCCTGGCAGTAAGAGCTGTTCGACAGCGGAATTTGCTACCAAGGAGTGTGGTGGAGTCTCCTTCTTTGGAGGTCTTTAAGCAGAGGCTTGACAACCATATGTCAGGAGTGCTCTGATGGTGTTTCCTGCTTGGCAGGGGGTTGGACTCGATGGCCCTTGTGGTCTCTTCCAACTCTATGATTCTATGAAGAGCCCTGTAGTTTGATCAAGCCCATCTAGTCCCGCACCCTGTTAGAATCATAGAATCGTAGAGATGGAAGGGGACCCTGAGAGTCATCTAGTTTAACCCCCTACAATGCAGGAATCTCAGCACTGTCTCCTCATAGTGGCCAAGCCTGCAAGGAGGATTGGAGCCCAAGTGCATCTCTTCCCTCCGGCGGCTTCCGGGAACTGCTATCAATTAAGCATAATAATAAAAATAATAGCAATAAAATTTTATTCATATCCCGCCCTCCCCAGCCGAAGCTGGGCTCAGAGCGGCTAACAACAGTAAAATGATACAACATTCTAAAATCATTTCATTATAAAATCAGTTCACATCAGATTAATGGCAACCATTGGGCTAGAGTTTTGTGAGGATTGCCAAGGGAGGGTGTCAGGCTGTGCCTTGGCCAAAGGCCTGGTGGAACAGCTCTGTCTAGCAGACCCTGCGGAAAGATGTCAAGTACCGCAGGGCCCTAGCCCAGAGCGTTGCACCAGATCGGAGCCACAGCTGAAAAAGCCCTGGTTCTGGTTGAGGCCAGCCTAACCTCTCTGTGGCCCGGGACCTCCAAGATGTTTTTGTTTGAAGACTGTAAGGTCCTCTTTGGGACATACCAGGAGAGGTGGTCCTGTAGGTACGAGTGTCCTAGGCTGTATAGGCCTTTAAAGGTTAAAACCAACACCTTAAATCTGATCCTGTACTCCACCGGGAGACAGTGCAACTGGTATAGTACCGGGTGAATGTGATCCCACAGGGAGGACCCCGTAAGGAGTCTCGCCACGGCATTCTGCACCCGCTGGACTTTCTGGGTCAGTCTCCAGGGCAGCCCCATGTAGAGCAAGTTACCAAAATCCAGTCTGGAGGTGACCGTTGCGTGGATCACAGTGGATAGGTCAGGGCGAGAGAGGTAAGGAGTCAACTGCTTAGCTTGGCAGAAATGAAAAAATGCCGCCTTTGTTATAGCTGCAGTCTGCACCTCCATGGAAAGGTGTCGAAGATTACACCCAAACTCTTAACGAACAGTGCTGGCACTAATTGTGCCCTCGCAAGAGATTGGAGTTGCCGCTCCCAATCCCCTATCGTCCCAACTCAGTCAAAGGACCTGTGTCTTCGAAGGATTTAACTTCAACCAGCTCCCGCGTAACCATCCAGCCACAGCTTCCAAAAATCTGATCAGTGTGTCTGGGGCCGAGTCAGGATGGCCATCCATCAACAGATAGAGTTGGGTGTCATAATAATAATAATACGTTATAATAATAATAATAATATAACATTATTTATACTCGCTCATCTGGCTGGCTTTCCACAGCTACTAGGGCAGCTCCCAACAGAATATTTTTAAAAAACCAATGAAACAAACATTAAAAGCTTCTCCACATAGGGATGCCTTCAGATGTCTTATAAAAGTCAGATAGATGCTTATTTCCTTGACATCTGACGGGAGAGCATTCCACAGAGCGGGTGCCACTACCAAGAAGGCCCTCTGCCTGGTTCCGTCATTGAGTTGATATAGAGCATCTAAACTAAATTTGTCGGCTTCTGTCAAATAAGCAGAATTGGGAAGTTTGTAATGTCTGTTGTCTTATTGTGTTTTTATATTTTGCTGGAAGCCGCCCAAATTGGCTGGGGAATAATAATAATACCACTTGTTCAGTCTTAAAATTTATTTGTACCAGTGCATTTGGAAGCATCAGAATAACTTGAGGTAATATATTCATACAAAAGCTTTGCTCCCGATTCATTGCAATCCTACCAGCTGAATTTGATCCGAGTCCTGGGATAACTCAGTTGGTAGAGCATGAGACTCTCGGGGTTGTGGGTTCGAGCCCCACCTCGTCAAAAAGATTCCTGCATCGCAGGGGGTTCGGCTAGAACATCCTCTTGGTCCCTTCCAACTCTATGATTCTGTGGTCTATGAACCTCACTTATTCGCAATGAGAGAACCACCACAATTTTTTATTAAGCAATTTATAAAATTGGAGAGCGAAAGAAGGAGGAATCTCAGGGTGGGCTTTTTTTGTGGGGGACATGACTTTTCTGGTCAGTGGGCAGGAGGAGCGTGGGTCTGTGGGATATGAAATTCGTAGCAGTGAAGTACAACATTCCTAGAGTGGACATGTTAGGGGATGCTTTGTGCCACCCAGGAGAAAACTTCCTCTTTTGGATCTGGAAGGGTACGACAATAATTTTGGCTGGCACGCATATTTATGGTATGACAAGGCAAAGGTGTATAAAGGTTTTAAAAACCATATTGTTAGGAAAGCATTGTATAATGTTTGGAACCGATACAAAGATTTGCTGGAAAGTAAAACCCCCAGGTGGTTGTCACCAATGGAAGCTAAGGCAGTGAAAAAACTTAATATGGACTCTAATTGGCCAAAATATTGTGAAATTTTAGAACAAGATGGTGAAAAGTTAAAACTTCAGAGTTACGAGAAGCTAAAGCATAAAGTTCGAGATTGGCTATATTACCATCAGATAAATGAGACATTTAAGCAAGACAGGAAACTAGGTTTTCAGAAGGAGAGGTCAAAGTTAGAAACAGAATTGTTAGAACCCAATACTAAGAATCTGTCCAGAATGTATAATTTGCTGCTGAAATGGAACACACAGGATGAAACGGTGAAATCAGCTATGATTAAATGGGCACAGGACATCGGTCATGACATTATTTTCGCTGACTGGGAACAGTTATGGACCACCGGTATTAAGTTTACGGCATGTAGTGCCTTGAAAGAACATAATGAAAATGATCTACAGGTGGTACATGACCCCAGTCAAGCTTGCAAAGATCTATCATTTGCCCAATAATAATTGCTGGAAATGTAAGGAATCTGAAGGAACTTTCTATCACCTTTGGTGGACCTGCCCAAAGATTAAGGCCTACTGGGAAATGATCTATAATGAAATTAAGAAAGTCCTTAAGTGGACATTTGCAAAGAAACCGGAGGCTTTTCTCTTGGGCATGGTCGGCCAATTGGTACCAAAGAAGGATAGGACATTCTTTATGTATGCAACTACAGCAGCAAGAATCCTGTTGGCAAAGTATTGGAAGATGCAAGAACTACCTACTCTGGAAGAATGGCAGACGAAGGTGACTGAATTTATGGGACTGGCAGAGATGACCGGCAGAATCCGCGACCAGAGGAAAGAGACAGTGGAGGA